TAACTATGCTTGTGATATATAAGTGAATACAATAATACAAAATAAGTTTTGACAAAATGTTAGGAAGTTTAAAACAAAAATAAAAAAATAAAAAAATTATTTAAGCTTTATCAAAAACGTTATTAGTATTTGAATATATTTTTCAAGATTCAAACGCACCTACGTTTATCGACGTTAGGAAAAGTCATTTAAACAATTAATTTCAATAGAATACGATCAATAAAGCAATACGAAAAACAATGAAGTCATTAAAGCGCAAAACTATTTAATTTAAAAAAAAACTAAATAGAAAAGTCCGGCTTTTTCATAGCATAAAAAAGTGGCTCTTTCAAAAAATTGTATGGTAAAAAAAATAAAGCGCAAAACTATTTAATTTAAAAAAAAACTAAATAGGAAAGTCCGGCTTTTTCATAGCATAAAAAAGTGGCTCTTTCAAAAAATTGTATGGTAAAAAAAAATAACCTGAAATTAAACATTTTTTACCAAAACTTTAATCTATTATTATTTGTGGAAAAAGAGGATACATATATATATATATATATATATATATATATATATATATATATATATATATATATATATATATATATATATATATATATATATATATATATATATATATATATATATATATATATATATATATATATATATATAACAATGCAGCATATATGTTTTATCAAATAATACAATACTCTTTATGTTAAAAATAAATAAATCCCAGAAAAATTACTTTATACTTTTAAAATTTTTTGTGCACCCTTACGACGCTATTTATTTTGGGTAGAACTTTAAATTTTTTGTGGGTGACAGGTATCCAGCGTTGCCACACAAAAAGTAAAATACAATTATGGTCGGGTGCAAGTAAGTTAGATATGATGGCATCGGCTCTTTCAAAACATGGCTCTTTCATACATACTCTCTCCTAATATCAATATGTTATATTCTGCTTCTCAAATTTTTTCTCAAATCTTCTCAAATTCTAGAAATGTTTACTTTTCTAAACAATTTTGAGATAATTTGCGGAACAGAACTGAGACTATAAATCTGGCGTATCATAGATCTGTATATTGCTATATTATCATAGATCTGTATATTACTTTTTTTTATTCATCCGGCCTATACGTTTCCATAACGGTGAAGCCATTAATATTTTAAGGTAAATAGTTAATTTCACGGAGTGAAAACCGTTTTTAACATGTGTTATTCTTTTTGTTTTAGAAGGTTTTAAACATGCAACAGAAACAACGCGTTACTTTTTTCTGAGCTGTGCGGGCTAGGAAAACATTGGAAACTGTAAGTTGTAAATTCAAAATGATGTTGTATTTCTATATGATATTGTATTTCTATATAAAATGATGTTGTATTTCTATGATTGGTATAAATATTCAAAATGATGTTGTATTTGTTCCTAAACAAATACAGACCTGAGACTTTTCAACCTTTTACTGGAAATTTCAGTAAAAAAAAAATTGAAAAGCTGAATGCTTTTTAAATGCCTTTTATCAATAACACCGTTAAGAAGATAAGAAGATGTTAATGGATAGTTAAGAACTTTTTCAAGTTCGACTGATCGGTATCAGGGATTTATCGAGGATGGTATACCTTATTATGGCATGAAAAACTATAAAATGTTTTTTATATCATAATAATTAGACCATGCTTAATTGATGAGTTTGGAGAAAAATTCATTTTTCTTCGAAAAGATATTCAAAAAAGATGCTCAGTTAGTTACTTTAAATTTCTTTTTTCATTATTTATATTTATAACTATAACATATTTTATATTATAGTTATAAATATAAATAATGAAACTATATTTCATATATAATATATTTTTCATACACTTTAAAATTTTAGTTACAAAAGCTTGTTTTTGAATTGAGCTTTTTCTTGAGTACAGCATAGATATTTGAGAATTTGTAACAAAAATGTGCAGCCAAGATCAATATCTGATGAAATATGACTTACAAGATCTGGCTAGGTTGAAAAATTCCCATTATACACACGTCAACATGTTTCTAGAATGAAAAACAATTCTTTAAGATTTTCAGTAAGCAAACCTGCAAAATTGTTCATAAAAATATTAAGAAGATTTGCAGCTTTGAAGTCTAATGTCTAAAAAGTTTAAAAATGGAACTGAGTAAAAAGCTAAAAGGGAAAGTTTTGTAAAATAGCTGTAACCTATTCTAGCATGAGGACGTGAATGTAAAAAGTATTGCATCAATATAAATTTAAGAAGTAACCATAACTGAAAAATATTTTTAGAAATAAATACTTTGTATTTAATTATGATTGGAATATTTAAATAGCCAAATAAACAATAAAAGGATTCATAATAAAACCTAGAGATTAAAAGATTATTTAAAAACAAAATATTCAACTGATAATCTAGATTAGATCAAAACCTTTTCAGAATCCTTTAAATTAAGTCTTGTTTTATTCTAGAGATTTATTAGATTTCTTCTGCATGGCGATTATTATAAAACATATTTATTAGATTTCTTCTGCATGGCGATTATTATAAAACATATTTATTAGACTTCTTCTGCATGGCGATTATTATAAAACATATTTATTAGATTTCTTCTGCATGGCGATTATAAAACATATTTATTAGATTTCTTCTGCATGGCGATTATTATAAAACATAATTAAAACGAAAATCTAAAGAAGGATTGGTTTTCATTTTGTTTTTAACCCATTTGAGGCACACACAAAGTATTGGTATGTTTAAATACCAATCTTAAGTACTTTTTACTTCAACTTAAAACCTCTACACTGAAGCACTGTAAGAAAAAAATTGATAAAAAACATCCTTTTTGGTAAGCTTTTGAGTATTTTCATCCTAATAATAAGTAAACATTCAAATGAAATATTTAAACAAATTTTTTGTATGATCTATTAACATTTTAACATTTATAATGAAGTAATATGTCTTTTCTTTAATTGCTTTACCAAACAGAAACATCAAAAACACTACTCGAACATATTAAACATAACGCGATTTTATTTCAATAAAAACCTCGAGCATGAAGCGATTCTTAATAAATACCTCGAGGATGGCGTGAAAAAGCAAGTCATCTTAATACATAACTTTCTCTGTTCAGTTAAAAAAATATTTTATTAATAAATGTTTGTAACCTCTGCAAAGATTTTATAGTTTGTTGAAACTTTTAAAATGTGCATCTGTTATTGAGAAAATTATCGTCAATAGCAGTGCAAAATGTTGTCGTTTAATTATTATAAATAAATGATAGGTTTATAAATGTAAAAAAATCTCGATAATCTTACGAAATTTTTGGGTTTCTCGAAACTCCGCCTTCTTTTAAAAAATTGTTTACATTAAGATGTTATTAGGCGTTTTTCATAAATTTTAAAATAAAAATGTCAATTTTCGAATTAGTAAACATTAGTTATTTAGAATCAATTGTGCGTGGATTCAATTTAAAAATATTTTTATAATATATTTTTAGAATTTTGCTTTAGTATATCAAATCTTTCTTATTTCACGTCAAATATAGACACACGCAAATGCGCGCGTTTACATCACATTGTTCAAATGTTTTTTGTTACAATGTAAGGACAGTTTGAACTTTAAACTTGGATCAAAATATCGTAACCATATGTTTTTCGACTTTAAACTGAAGCGCAAAGGTCTTTTGTATTACTTTTTAAACTTAAAGACCAAACTTTGATATGATATAAAAACATACTAAACCTAAAAGATCGTGTTTTAAAAATTAAAAAGTTGAAAAAAAAATACAGGAATATTTTCAAGTTTTAGTCAAAGTTTTGCAAAAATTTAGTTAAAACAATTGCAAAATATTCCGTTTGCAGAAGCCATTTTCTTCGCCGGTGCGATGATTCATCGTAATAAACAAAGCCGAAGCGTAGCGTATTGGTACCCCTCTTAAAACCTTACATATTAGGCATTTCAGTCCACACATATGAATACACAGTAGGCCATGACAATGTGAGTCAGCATTCTTCAATGTATAACATGTATACATTTGTTTTTTTTTATAAAATATGCATTTAAAATGGTACTATTTACAATAGCGTTTACAACTGGTTTTCAAGTAACTTGATAACCTTTATATACTATTTATAAGTTGAAATAAACGTTATTTACCCAACTGGCGCATCTAGTTTCTTTTTCGGAATTAAAACCTGTATAGATACGTGTTAGTCACGATCCAGGCGTAAACTAAAAACACGTGTATATTACGGGCAGTTTTACTCGAGTTTAACACGTGTTTTTTGATGTTTAAAGTCAAATTTAAATGTCGCATGCTTTTATCAGTTTTTTTTTTACATTCCTTAAGGAAATTTATTATAATATGATTTAATATAGTTTATAATACTACGTTTCCATAACGGTGAAACCATTAATATTTTAACGATATTTTTGGTAAATAGTAATAGTTAATTTCACGGAATGAAATTAATACTTAGCGCGTGCTTTAATTTGTTTTTTTTTTTTTTTTTTTCGAAGGTTTTAGACACGCAACAGAAACCAAGCGCAACTTTTTTCCGACTTTTGCCGGCTGGGTATTGGTTGTATTATTAGTTATAATTCCATTGTAACAGAAAATAAAAACAAAATAACAAAAATATATGCAATTATAAATATATATATATATATATATATATATATATATATATATATATATATATATATATATATATATAAAGGAAAAAATATATGTTAACAGCTTAAATGTTTATGCTCATACGCCACAGATGTTCGTTGAAAACTGTTCATTTTATAGGTTGTTTTTTTTTTTCTAATAACTGTTCTTTATCTGATTGTGATGGCTCATGACGTCTTTTAGTATTTTTTTAAAGCAAATAATTAAATTATCAATGATAAAAAAGCGTATTAAGTCTAACTCTTTTAGTTAAAAGATTTTCTTATTAAGATAATAAAAAGGTCTTTGTTATTCATTGAATGGCAAGTAGATAGAAATTTTAAGAAAAAAAAAACCCATAATATACCTTTAATTTATCGTTTTCATTTATCTTTAATCTAAGATTATTCAACTGAGTTTGAAGTGCCTTGTTTTCTTTTTGAAGTTGGTTCAAAACTGGAACAAGTTCTTTAGCCGAAACTGTTTCTTTTATTGCTTTAGCTTCGTATTGGCTCATGCGCAATTTAATAAGATTTTTTATGTTCTGAGGAAAATAAAAACTTTGCAAATTGGTTTCTTTTTTCTATACAATTTCAATCAATTATCAATTATCAATTTTTTCAATACATGTAACATAGGAATTTTTGCATAAATTAATAAAACCCACCTTCACCATATCAAACGTTTCGGTTTGAACTGCTGCATCCGACATTTCACGGTTGCAGCTACCATTAGTTACAGAACTACTTTTTTCCTGTTTTACTTCTTTTTCGATGGGATATTCCATGTTACAAAAGTCATCTTCAATTTTTATTACTTCTCGTTCAGAGTTGCTGAAAACAGTATGCTTTAAACGCCTAAGCTCTTTTTCAACATAAGGATTTAAAGATCCAGTCATAACGGATATGTAAAACTAATGCTACCAATTTCAATAAGATCGTCAACAAACGTAATTTAACAAGTAGTATACAAAACTTAAATGCCCGTTGTCGTTGAATTTAGTCTTAATCAAAAACAAACTTACAATACTTATCAGTTACTCATGTTCGTTATTGTTAACTTAAAATAATGCATGATGGGATAAAAACTTTTTTTTGACCAAATATGGTCATTTTTATTATCTATTAAAACAATCTTAAAAAAAGAAAAGAAACGTCACAAAAGAATTATGACGAGTAACTTGGTTAATTAGTTTATTTGTTCCTGTTTTATTTTAATACTAAAAATAACATCTTTTTGTAAAAGCGACTTTTGTGAAAGCTTTTATTAATCAATCAATAATTCACTTAATTCACTCAAAATACGAAGCAGTTTTATGAGTCACTGATTTTTAAATATCCTCAATGTATAATCATGATTCAGAATATTTAACTTATTTTAGAATATTTACTTCATAAACGATGAGGTTTATTACGTGGCAAACCGCGACAAAGTTGGATTTTCGAAGTCATTGTTATTAAAATAAAGCTAAGTGTTTTTGTTTTATCAAAAAATTATTTTAATCCGACGTAAATCTTTTTTATAAGTAGCTTTCCCATTCATAGTTTACATTCCATAACTCATAGTTTGCATTTTTTATTGTTTACATTTTTTACATTAAATATTTTTCTCACAGTTTGTCAACAAACTAAGCTCGATTTTAAAATCTCGTTTACTAAAATCATAAATTTATATTTATTATAGTTTTAAATTTACAATGGAAACGGTATATGGATCTTTGTTAATCAAACACGGAATTTAAGATTATTATTAGAATCGGCACATAAGTTGGATATACTTTAATCAATAACTTATATCAAATGTTTTTAAACAATCGTAATTCCATTATATTAGCATATACAATGTAAATATTATTTTTCATTTTTCATCACTCAGTTATATTTACCTGAATTAAAAGCTAAAAATAAAACATTTTATTTAATTTATTAAGCTGAGCAAATGCGGAGTTTTAAGAAAACGTGGGTTTAAGCATATATTATATTATTTTTAGTTATTTTTAAAAACGCGTGTACAAATATAATTTTGGCTTAAAGACAAAATCAAATAAGATTATGTTTTTTAGACCTTGACCTTTAGGTCCGTGGGTGGTAGAGATTTAGTTTAGGATGGTTTGACCGTGGTTAACACCATCGGGTTCGTAGAAAAGGATGCAATAAAAGGACTTTAAATTAAAGTGTTGAACTGTTAGAAGAGTAAAACAATTTTTATCGTAACAAATGTGATTAAGAAAAAACATTGATGATCTTGGCCGCTGCACGAAGAAACAAGTTGACCGCGGTAATACCAGGGACGCGGTGAAATTTAAACTGTTATACATCGTTTACGAAGCAAGCTATCTGCCACTATATTGTCACTATTAGAAATATTACCTAATGCGTATTCATTTTTAATATTTTCTGTGGCGTGCGCATTTAAAATATTTTTTAATCGTGCGTATTTAAATACGTTGGGTAATCTCAATAATAATAATTATTTTAACAATACTTTAAATACGCACGTTGTTACTTACGACGTTAAACATCCCAAGCATTAAATCGCGCATTATGTTGCTGATATTGAATAGAACACAGTTTTGTTTAAAAGTAAAGTTTTTGCAACACTTATAACGAAGAGACACTCTGACTAAAGCTGAATATTTGGACAGTTTATATCAATTTTTTATATTTTTTTTCCTTAGACATTTGACATAGGACTTTATAAGTATTTTAATAAAAATAGTACATCATCATTGGTAGTTACAAATCTGAATTGTTCGAAATTTTTAGTGGCAACGCTCAAGAATTTTATGCTCGGTCAACTAGAACATGTGCTGTTTAAAAACATCTGAAATATCTACAAAAACTGACAATGCCTGCTTCTCTGTATAAAATTATTTACCTAGCCGGCATTTGGTCCTAAAAAGACGTCTTATGAACGTCTAAATAACGTTTCGAATGTCTTTTGAACGCTCAAAAATAGTCTTTTATGGACCAAATGCCGGCTAGGTAGGTACTATGTTGTAGCTAATAATATTTATATAAAACCTACGTATTACAAAAAAAAAACTTTTTTCAGATTTCGATTTGTGTGCTCAAATCATTATTACTTATCGTTTTACAATATAAATTTTTTGTACAGAAAATTTTTTACTCAGTTCTCACATTAGCACACTGATTCTCACCAACTTATATCTTCCCTGCAATTAACTTACACTTTTGCCTTAATATCTGAATAATTTTTCTTAAAATGTCAGTATAAATTTTGTTTTAAAATGCTAGACAAGAAAACCATTAAAATAATAATTAAAAAATGTTTCTTTAAATAAAAGATTGGAATTGGAATTGGTGTTTAAACCAAAACCATCAGTTGACGTAAATTAACTCACGGCGCGTATCCCTATAAAAATCCCATTTGTTGTGTATTTGTTGCGCCTATTCTCTTAAATTTAATTTTCACTCCCTGCAACTTTTTAAATATTTCAGTCAATAAACTTATATTTTGCTGCGTTTTAAAAGGTATAATAAGTTAACACTAAACAAAGAAATATAATTTTAAAAAACATTCCTAAAGATATCTTTTCAAGACATCAGTTAGGTAGACTATTTTTTGAAAAACAATTTCAATAAAATAAAATATTTATAGTGCAGTCCATTGGTAAGAAATTTATCTGTTTTTGTGCTATTTTGGGTAAAAGCATAAAACTTGGTCTACACGTTGATAATATTGAAATACCAATTTTAAGACTTAGACCCTCTTGCAAAATGACTCCACCTGACTCCATGGTATATGGATCATAGATACCATGGTACCAATGAATCTCCATGGTATCTGGAGATTCAATATCTTATAGATACCATAGTAGCAACAACTTTTTCACACATTTACAAACACTCGTTCTCTATTTTGCAGCCATATCGTATAAGTTTACTGTACTCTTCGGAAGTTTCCGGAATCATAGTCCAAACAATTTCATAAATGCTGTTTTCCATAATCTAACCTCACTCACATGAATTAGGCAACAATGGATTTTTAGTGCAGTGTGCAGTGAAGTGAAGGTAATTATTTTTATTTTGATGATAAGAAATATTTTCAGTCTTAAATGATAATCTAAAGTATAATAAAGTATAATAGTTTATCAGTATCTAAAGTTTTAACTTGCTTTTTTGAGCCCACTATTTATATAGTATCATTCGTATAACGAATCGGCTGGCTTCTTTTCGGCCGGATATACTAGTAATAACTCGAGAAATACTTAAGAAATTAATTCCAATTTTTTTACAATTTTAATGACGTTCTATGTATATATTTAATTGTATTGGTATTTTACTAATATACACTAATTTTATTAATATATACTAAATATATACGAATTAAATGTATTTAATATTTTATATTTTGTATATATATGGATAAATAACTTAGCCAGCCATTTTCATAGATCTTTTTATTTTTAAACTAATCAGTAAATATGTTTTTTTATATAAACCTTTTTATCAAATTAACTTTAATTTTGTATTAGCTATCGAGCACCACACCTTCGGAATAAAATTATTTTTCCAAATTTTAATTTTAAAGTACCTATTAATTTGTTCCTTTTCAAAAACAAGCTAAAAAACATTATTCCTTCATTAGATAATATATCGAGTTAATATTAGTAGTAAAAGTTTAAAATATATTTTGGTCTACTTTTTCATTGTTTATATACATGTCTACGTTTATAGAAGCTTATTTCTACTTATTATATTTATTGTTTATATACTTTTTACTTTTTAATTTATATGTTGGTTTACGCCTGTACAAAATTCTTATGAGAAGATCCTCTTGATCTTTCTCATATACATAGATCATTTACCTGGCAATTTTGTAAAAGTTTCCTAATTTTTTTTTTATCTTATCCTTGTTAAATGCTTATTTAAGGTTCTGACAACAAGATCCTAACGATCTATTTTCAGATAACTTGTTTATGTTTTTTATATTTTCTATCATTGTAAGTTTACGTTACTATTTTTATTATTGGTTATATAACGTTGTTCAACAACCAACAAGTGTAAACCAAAAAAAAAAAAACTAATAGTATCAGTTTAAAGGTACAAATTGAGTAAACATTTGGAAAAAGATTTTGGATAATTTTCTTCAAAATTCAACCTACTCACATTCAAAAATTGCAAAATTGTCAAAAGTAACTAAATCTTCATTAGGAGACATATTGAGGCGGTACAAGAAGACTCAAATTATTGAAAGAAAAAGAGACCGTCAAAAGATAAAAGGTTTTGTTGGAAAAAAACACAAAGTGAATGCGATCATTCGGCCAATTACAAAAAATCCATGCTAACCCCAAAGAGATCTGGCTAAAAATTTCAATGATATTTTTTCCTTGTCAGAAAAACATTCTAAAGCAAGGGTTTGGAGGCTTGCACCAAAATAACTTCCGAAGCGGTCTACTGATGGAGAATTAAATGCAGTTCACCGTGCAAGAAAGCTTGTCAAACATTTTAATCGAGAAAATTTATCCATTATTGAGCACAAAAAAAATTACTGCTAAAATGATTTCTCACAATTGCCCTGCTATTAACATTATTATCATTCAGCAGGTGTCTATTTGATTACATATTTAAGTATTCAGACATATTTAAGTATTAAATATTGAGACTGAAAAAGTTGCTCCGAAGATCCTCGTTTTGCAAGCAATTTGTTCTTGTAGCCTTAAGAGTTCTCAATTCATTACTCGAAAGACTTTCACTTCCGATTTGTACATCACTGAAAGTCTTCAGTAACGTCCCCAGGGCCGTCCATTAATTTAAAATTACGTCAACATTTTTATTCCCCCCCCCTCCCTCCTTCCTTCCTCCTTGTTAACAACTTGTTAAGCTTCCAGAGACACCTCTATAAAATTACGTCAACATTCAAACCCCTCCTTTTCTCCCTAATAATCAAATGAACATGAAGTAAATAATAGTAAAAATTTATTAAACCTTTAAGTCTGGAACACATTTCTAGTTCATCACTATAAAGACATACTCCGAACAAAAAAAATATTAAAGGTTTCACAAAAATGTATTTTACACATTTAAATTGCGAACATATTTCAGATCAATACAACACTTCAATGTGCTAATTGTCAATAAACAATAGTCAAAAAATTTCAGACCTTCCTCTCTTCTATTTTGTTGATGTAACTTATAGAAAGCACCTTTTGCCATTTATCAACAAACAGCATAGCAGTTATCTCGTAGCCGGATTTGGCAACGATTCACAACGTTAAGAACAAAATTGAGTGGTACGACCAATATGGTTTCGAAATCGTCCCAAAAGATGCAAATACTCCAAACTGCCCTGAGCAGCGCATTATCGATTTGTAAGAGGAATTTTGTTGGAAAGCAACAAATCATAGAATAATGACAAAAAATTTGAGCAAAAATGGATAGCAACATTAAAAATAACATCTACTCTCAAATAATAAATTGATAACCCCCTAAGCGCCGTTTGAAATCTGTACAAATCAATTAAAAACTTTAAATGATAAAACAAATTTCACTATTAAAAAAATTTGTAATTAATTCCTTTGGGTCAAAATGATCAATCTATCTATCGGTACGAAGACAAGATAATTGGACAGCAAGGAACTTAAATAATTTGGTTTAGTTTTGAACAACGCAAAGAAATGAGAACCAATTAATCGGAATAATTGACTAGGGTAACACATAATCACGAAAACCTTGTCCTTTTTTAACTCTTGCCCATATTTTAGGGTTGTTCTCTGTTTACAAATCCTGAATAATATCAACATACGATTGTAACTATTTCAAAATTAGTTGCTAGAATACCTTAGTTGAATATTTTTTGAAAGTTTTACAATTCCTTGCCCATAAAATATTACAACAACAACTCCATCAGTTATCAAACATTCAACTTTTTATCTTTAAGTTAGCAGTAAAGTTTAATGAAAAAATTTTTTTTTTTTAGAAAACTCGAAGAAACTTAGAAGAAATTTGATGATCTGATCCAAGTTTCTCTGATATTTCATGCTGGAATAATGATATTTCTGTTCGTCAAAAGAGTCTTCAGCTGTTATGTTTAGCTTTTGTTTAGTTGGAATGTGTTCTAAAATAACAACAACAAAAAATAACATCTCAAAACTCAAAAAAAAATTAGAAATATTATATTCACTGATACGGATAAAAACTTGTGTTTAATGAAACTGAGTGTAATTAAGCTTCAAAAATCGTTAACCTTTAAAAACTCTCCTAAATTTCGATTGGTCAAAATTTATATTTTCAAGCCATACTAAAATTAAATTTTTTATTCGTGTTCTGTAAAATATTTCCCACCCACCTTTTTGATGAGACCCCCAGCCCTCTCCGTTTATAAAATCTGTACTAAAATTCGCACCTACCCCCACCTTTTTCTATTCCCATCCCACTATTCTTCCTAGCGCCACCCCAGTGCGGTTATTTGTATAAATTATTATGCCTACATGAATTGTTATTGAGACTTTTACTTGTTTTTGTCTTTTTTGAATCTTGATTCTTTGTTGATTTTAACGAACATGTTTCATACTATTGTGAATTGAAGTTGCTTCTTCTAAACCTCGAATACATTCATTACTTGTGTTCACTTGTAAAACTGTGTTAACAAATGACTTTAAAGAAGAAATTCTCTTTGGAAACCTTGTGAAAGGTCTACTTCTACTTACCCCGCCAGTGTTTTTATTTATATAATTTTAGAGGCGGATCCAGCATTTTTTGGTCTTTGAGATTACTAACTTCCAAACATGGAGCGAACTCCAAACATTTATATGTTTATACTTATGTCAAATAAGAATGCTTTGCAAAAAATTGCGATGATTGGAGCCTGGGAACAAAAAAGCCCCAAAATTTTTGCCACCCCTGCCCCAAACGTGAGAGCAACAAGTTGATGAAATATTTTTTGTACTATTTTCAACTAGACTTATATTCATCGACAAATTTTAATTTTCATATAATAAATATTTTAGCGTTCAAAAATTATGACCCTATAAAATTTGCAACTCCCTCAAATTGAGGGGGGTATAAACTTTATATTTTAAAATTATTTTAAATGGTAAATATTATTAAACGATGAAATAATATTTAAAAAAATAAAGTCATAATTTTGATTAGCAAGAATATCTCGCCGCATTTTTTTTATAACAATTCTTCAAAACATTTTCAACATTTTTGTCATATGTTAAGTAGAAAAATATCTTATCACTATACTCTCTTATATTTTCTACATGAACCAACAATCTCTGCAGTAATTTTGTTCTATGGATCCTAATGGTGTTTAATAAAAATTATGTTCGACACCACTATCTTTCTTCTTGTACTCTAGATGGTTTAGATGTACATGTTTTTCAGCTTATTCTAATTTCATACCGCTAAAAACTTTGCATCGTTCTGAATAAAATTATCTTTTAGAATATTTCTATCTATATTATCAAAAAAAAATTAATTGGTACCCAGTCATATTTATTGAACGCTTATATTTACAAAATTAAAAATTTATCATTAAATATAAACTTGGTTGAGAATAACAGAAAAAGTGTTTTATTAACTTGTTGCTCTAAAGTTTTGAGTTTTCTCCATGTCTGGAAGTTAACGTTAAGTTTAAGTTAAGTTAGTTATTATTAAATTATTTATTTTTTCTTTTATACCCTAAATAGCACAAAGTTTGCAACAATTGACTGCACTATTATTTATTTAGCAAAACGTGTTTTGAGTGCAACCAAGGACGTATTAATAGATGGACTTTTAATGCATTGTTATAGATTAGTGGCACCGCCAATTACTAAAACTCTATGCGGGTTTTTTTATTTTTAGCGTCAATTTTTGAAATAATTTTACAAAATAAACCGACATTTAGCCGACATTTTCGCTTTGCAAATTTCTTTTAGTAAATACTTTATTACCCATAAAACACTAACTTATGGGAAGTATAAATGTATTTTATGTAATTAAGAATATCTCATGTGATAGTAAATATTTTAATTGATTTGAAAGCTTTGTTTAATAATAAGCCCTGATCTCTATAATAATAATATGTTATTACAGACAATTATATTATTAAATAACTATGCAATATAACTATTATAATAACTATTTATATATATTAACTATTTACATACATTAACTATTATAATAACTATTTATATATAATAACTAAGTTATTTTATACAAATAAGTTGTTATAGAGATCAGTGATAATAACTTATTTGTAAAAAAACTTTTATATCAAAAATAATATTTTTGTAAACATGCAATATGTGATAAACTAAAAATTGTAAAGTAAAAAGAATTTTCCACGTGTTGTCATATCATAAATCATTTATAAATTGAACTAGAGACTGTTGGCAACCATTCCCTACATTTAGATTTTGCTAATCTCTCAAAGATTTAAACTTCTCTTTTTTGACCGAAATCAAGACAAAAAAAATTTTTTGTCTCAATTTTGTTTTGATATTTTTCGGTATTTGAGTTTTTTTTTACAAGTAGAGTTCTAGAATAATCATATGATTTAACATATATGACCCCCTTCCCCCATGAGAGACCTCTTTGGGACTTCCCTGACCACAATACTTTACTTATTAAAGTTTTTTTTTATTTAATTGAAGAGATGAGACAGTTATTATTTTGATGAATAAAAGTATTTCTACGTGACGCAAATATTTTCTATTATTTGGCTATTGTTATTCATAACATTGCTAGCGCATATCTTGGCTTTTAAACAATGAGTTAAACGTCCATCTATTAATACGTCCTTGTTGCGACTGAAAGACAAAAACGGTTCACAAAATTAATTATACTGATTGCGTTTCCGGCGTTAATAATTTTGAACATACGACGTTTTTTATTTGGCTTTATAAAGATTTTGAGAACCTCATGGCCTACTTAAAGTATATGACCTAATATTCCGCATTTTTGCCGAAAACATAGAAGGCCATTAAGTTATTTTAATAGAATTACTTTTTAAATAAAAAACAAAGGAAATAAACAAAGACGTTTTTTCTTATAAATACCTTTTAAAAAACTAGTGTAAAAAAATGGTTTTGTTTCTTTCAAGTCTTAAAAAAAGAGATTTTTTTTTTTATTAAAACATCTTGTGCCCAGCAAACAAGATATCTAAAATGCATCTAAATACTGGTCTAAAAGATGTCTAAATTCAGGTCTAGAACGGGACATAAATAGACGTCTATCTTATAGACGTCTTTTAGATGCATTTTATTCGACAAAATAATTGCCTTAGATGCATAAAAGATGTGAAATATACATCTTCCAGATGCATTTTAGATGTATAAAATACGTCTCTTAAATAGATGTCTAAGGCGCGTTTAAAAAAGATAGATAATAGATAATTTTTTAGCTAATAATAGCTCTTTTATGCATCTAATATACATCTAACATATATCTTTAAATGTATATTTCATATCTTTTATGCATCTAAGGCATTTATTCGTGTCGAATAAAATGCATCTAAAAGACATCTATAAGATAGACATATATTTATGTCCCGTTCACGACGTGAATTTAGACGTCTTTTAGACCAGTTTTTAGATGCATATTAGATGCATTTTAGATATCTTTTTGTTTGCTAGGACTTGTTTGATACAAAGGTGTTACAGCGGTTAAATTAGTCATAAAAAAGGATTAAATTAAATAAGTAAAGAAACATTTTAACTAACATTACTTAATTTTTATTTCACAAAAATATACATAAGAAATTATATTTCTTCATTGCCGTCAACATTTTCATAACCTGATAAATATTTTAACAATAAACTGAAATATATTTATAAAGATTTTTATTTTAATATATGTAATAAATTAAAATATATTTTAATATATGAATGCTTAAAATTATGAAAAGTAAAAGCATTAAATTTGAAAATAAAATGCTAAACAAGGTTTAGCATTACACTTACTTTAGCACACAAACAAACTTAAACACCTACAGTGAAGCTCCCGAGTTTATCAAATTGTCATGTTAAAAGTAAATCCATAACAAATAACGGTCAAAATGAATTGCTTTTGGTTCCTTTTAATCATATTTCTAATAATTAATAAAAACATAATCATTTACCTTTTCATGATCAAAAAAACATGTTCTCTTGGCTTTCCACCACCAATCTTTTTCAAACTATCAAGCTGAAATAAATGTAATAAAAACTAGTGTAACTTAAATTTCTTTACAACATATTGAGTCTAACACAAGCTAGTTATTTTAGTTCATTTACAAATACTTTTCATTTAGATTCTAAACTAGTAAACCAAATTAAAACAAACTTAAGATAATTAGATTATACCAAATTAGTATACTCGGTTTTATCTTTTAGTTTATTATCTAGTGTAGCCACTTCGTCCACTGATTCTAGCAACTTCACCCCAGTAGCCTGAACTTAATTTCTATAACTTCTTTTAAAAGAACTTTTATTTCAGCAAGCTTGTTGAGAATAACATTTTGCATCTCTACAAACAAGAATAAAAAGATTGATTAACATATTTAGCTCATAAAACCAAATAGCAAAACAATAAAATAAGAACTTTAAAATTCAAATTATGCTTGAGTAACTCAAACTAAAATTCCAAAAATACATGTAAGTTTTTTAATTACTCCATCGCAGAAGTTGCCATAATATTTTGGAAAACCTACTTTTTAAATTAGCTAAAACTTTATCCTGTAAAAAGTTACGATATTAAAGAATTTTGTTTAACTACTAAAGGTAAAATGCTACACACATGATTTATCGGATCACAATATTATAAATAATCCATTTCTATTCTTTTATACCTATCTTTTACAATTATTTTAATACAAAAACAAATTAATAAAAAAGACCTCCACATTAACATTCAGTGGTGTAAAAACCAAAAATACTCATATTAAAACTTGAAACTATTTGACAATGTGAACTTTGCTTGGTTTTATTCTGTTCATCAATAAAATTTAAAAAAAATTATCTTCTTCAATCTTTGAATCTGATAACAACTCTATTCAAAAGGAATAATTATAATTAGAACTATAAATAATCCCTCAACCATACCTGTTACTTAATTTAATTTTTCAACCAATTTTGTACTCTTTCAATTTCTGAATTTAAACAATTTCAGCATGCTTTCAATCAATTTTCAATTTTCATATCAAGTTGATTAAAGGATTATTTAATACAATAGAATGTTGCCAATCATATAAATATATGTAACCAATTTAACAACATTACATATAATAGGACACCCAGATAGTTAAAATAAAAGGAAAATTTTAGTAATACATAAAAAAGACTAATAACTATATAGATATTATTCAGATCAAATTAAACAAGAATCTATTTCAGTTTATAAACCATTAAGAAAAAAATATCATATTTGTGTTATACTTTTATCATTGGGCTTATTCATAATAGGTGGCGGAGGTTATGGCAATGAAGAGCGGTATGATTCGCTATTCTTATTTTTAATGCTTTCTTTAACATATATCTCATCTGATGTAGAAAGTTGTATTCTTTACAACATGAAAATGAATCTAATTATAAAACATTTTGCTACAAAAAAGTAATTAAGTTACCTTTAAAAAAAACACAAAACAAGTTAGATACTGACTATCTGTTATCTTACACTTTATCAATGGAAATTTTTGCCATTCTTTTGTTGACGAAAGGTTGTTTTTCAGTGCTTGATTATAGTTTTTTTTGGGACAATAAATTTGTTGCTATTCTTTGTCAATCCACTTGTTTAGTGCATAATTACTTGGTTAGAAAAACATGCAGAAAAACTTTCCTTTAAAGTTGGGTTATGCTTATACTCATTAGGCTGTTGGTCATACGAGTATTCATTGTACAAAATCAATGACTCATGATGGTCAAAATATTCTTTTAGATTTTCGCAAGATAAGAAATCATTTCTTTTAGAAGTTCCAACATTCGATTTTTTTTCCATATGTACTGATGAAAATTCTAGTATTTTTTAATATTCTTTTTGGACACGTCTACTGCGTCTCTTTTCGTATGCCCTTTTTATGTATATATATTATGTATGTATATATATATATATATACATATTATGTATGTATATATATATATATACATACATAATATATATATATATATATATACATAATATATATATATACATAATATATATATATATATATATATATATATATATATATATATATATATATATATATATATATATATATATATATATATATATATATATATATATATATATATATATATATATATATATATATATATATATATATATATATATATATATATTTTAATTACATTATCTTTTATTCTAGAAATAAAAATATCAACTTGGAAATATTAATTTTGTAATATTTCTGCAAAATAAATTTCAAATCACAAGGATTTTAGCAAACATGCTAAGCATCAAATCATCGAAATATTTTGTGAACTATAATAGCATGTTATTTTATTATTTAAAATTTATCAAAAGAAATAATCATTGATGTCTTCCATAGGTTAAAATCTTCATGCTTTTTTCGGAGTAAGTTTCCGCAGGGTTTTTAAATGGCGGTCATTTATAATTATCGCTCCGTAAAGTTAGTTAAAACTTTTTTCTTGTTTTTATAACAAATCTAACAAAGACATCTTATAGATTTAGACATCTTATAGTTTAGATGAAAAAAAAATTATCTATGCACGATCTATTTTAAGCATCTAATATGCATCTAAAACAGAGCAAAAATAGTATCTCTAGAATCAGACGTCTTTTCGATCTCTAATATGCGTCTAAAATATACGTATCGGCAATAGATACAAATCAGACCACTTTTAGACGGTCTAAAAGACGTCTATTGTTTGCTGGGTGTTTCTAATTTCAAAAATTTTGTTGAATCTTGGTTATTAAAGAGAATGTATTACTTATTAGGGTAGATTAGGGTAATATGAGCATACTTAAAAATTTCTTAGATGTAAGCAGTGAAGTTAAAGTTGCTTCGTATTTTTTGAATCGACTTTATGAGGTGATAACAGAAATCAGTACAATTAGCGTAAATTTATATGCAGTAATTAGCGGCTATCATTTAATTAAAACGCTGTTAATTTGTTTGCGTTGTTATAATAATATCATCACGCATGAATGAATCTGTGACGCAAAATTTTGGTGCTAAAATAATAAAATTAATTTTTTCATAAAGAAAAATATGTTAGCTAAAAATCTGTTCCAATTTTGTTTGAAAAACAATGCATAGAAACATTTAGTTTTGACTTTATTTAAAGATGCCACTTTTGTGTAATATAAGCATGCTAAAATTACTCAGTGTTTCTCATTGAAATTGCCTAGTTTAAGTTCCTAAAATAGCAGTGGTTTTAATTGCTTTTTGAATAAAAACAAAACATAGCAAAAAATTTAATATTTTAACAATACTAAATATTTTTCTGTAATTTAAGTTCAAAAAATTTTAATTTTTATCGTTCAAAGGTTTGAGTTAATAAAATTGATATAATAACGAACTAATTTTTTTTTCTACGGAAAACATAGTAGTATTGTTTCAACAAAAAGTGACTAAAATTTGATTTTTAAATGATAAGTTTTGTTCATAACGAACCATTATATTCCAAAAATTAGTTCTAATTTTCAGGTTGGTATTTTTTTACTTAATTAATGTTATTTTTTTGAGCTAATTTTAAAGTGCTCATACTACCAAGTGGTCTTGGTAATATGAGCGCTTTTGCTACTTTTTTAAAACCTCTGTGCTTTTAAGAAAATATTTCGGGTGCCCAAATATCTATGTGAATCATGAGTAGGGATCCCTAAACAATTTTTATTCGCAAAAGTTTTGTATCCAGCATAATTATTTTTGAAAATATTCCAATTTTCGCCTAATGTGCTCATATTACCCTAATCTACCCTACTTGGTTTGTGAGATTTATCTCAGATTTTAGACGCTTAGAACAAAGAAGATTTTTGTTAAACAAAATTTTTTTCAAAATGAACTGCTAAATGGCAAGTCAGTGTTGCTAATAACATTAAAAGTCTAATAATGCAAAAGCGTCTCAAACATAATTGCCCAGATTAATATTTGGTATGGTCAGTTCTCCTCTTCATAAAATTTCAATATACTGTTTAATTAGAAAATTATATTTTCTCCAATCATTAGTTTATGCATGCGTTTACTAAATCTTTTTAAATTATTTTTTTTGTAATAAAAAATAATTATATAAAAATGTATATATATATATATATATGTATATATATATATATATATATATATATATATATATATATATATATATATATATATATATATATATATATATATATATATATATATATATATATATATATATATATATATATTAAATAAAACTTCTTTACTATTTTCTGACAAAGATACATTATTTAAGGTGGCTTATATAGCAAAAAAAAAATTATTTTTATTTAAATATATCATTCAATGCAAAATATATTATTCTTCTAGAAAATTTTGCATAAAATAAAAATTCTGCTAGTTTAATTTAACATTTTTATAAGTAAGTTGATTAAAATTTCTTAGCGGAAAATATTTAAATAATATTGATAAAAATATTTTATTATAAAGTTATGTATTTTTATTTTAATTTATGAAATAAATATCTAAATAAAGTTTGTTTATTGTACAATATATAACTAAATAAAACGACTTTTGACTTTTGTCATGTTTTGTGGAGTGTGCTGTACATCTTGATTCAAGTTTTAGTAGCTATTGATATCTCAAAGCATTTTATTTGTATTTTTTATCAGATTATTGAGAATGTCTAGTAAACAGAATTTGGGAAGAAAAAAATATCAAAAACTTTGAATAAGACTTCTAAAGGAGATGATAATAATTATTTTTTGTTCTTAAACTTCATCTAAGAATGGGTTTTGCAAACAAACTTTTAATAAAATGCTTTTTTTTTGTGATTGTCCTCAAAAGGCACCATTAACTGATGATGTCTGTAATAAAAATAACGTTTCTACAGAGGGACAAAATCTAATTGAAATTAATGCTCAAAATGTAATTGCTTTTTAAGAAAATGGAAAAAATATTGCAGCAATAAAAAGTTTTGCTAGATGCCACAATTTGGAGTCTTTATCTGAACCCAGTTTTCGAAACATATTCAGTCATTTGTATAAAGCTTACAATAATGTAGTAAGTAGTGGCATAGTAAAAGTGGTTGATGATATTAAATTAAACCCTAAAAACAATGCTCATTTAGGCATCACAACAGTAAATGGTTGGCAGAATCACATCAGTAGATGGTTGGCAATCACATCATTAGATAATGACAGAAGAGGGGATTTTCATCCCTTAATTGATGTGTTACAGTTATAAATCATGGCAAGTGTATTGATGTTAATGTAATGACAAAGTATTGGAGGTTGTGTCAAATTTGGAATAGAAAAAAAAGCTCTGAAGAACACCAAAACTGGCTTTCCTAGCATAACTGTCCAATTAACTATAAAAGTTCATCTGGTGCAAATGGAGTTAAAAAGTACAGTGGAGATTTTTCAGCGGTCAGTTTAAAAAAAAAAAAAACTTATTTACAATGAGAACCTTAACGATGGAGACACATCATCATACAAAGACGTTTTTGTTCCTAATGTTTATATAGATTATGGTATTAATTAAATTAAGTTAGAATGTGTTTGGACACGTGCAAAAGAAATGTGGAAACAGACTTTAAAATCTTCGTAAAAAGTTCAAAGGAGCAAAAAAACTCTTTGTCTGGTCGCGGTTAACAAATATAAAAAGAATATAAATTTACCATCATGGACTTTTTAAATTTTGCTCCCAACATTTTTAGAACTAAGAAGTGACGAGTTCTTATCAAAATGTCTTCATGGAAAAAATGCCCAAAATACCCAAAATGCCAACGAAGCTTTTAACAATGTTGTATGGTCACGATGTCCGAAAAACACTTTTATAGCAAATGATGTATTGGTGTCAGTTCTGCCATAATTTATTTTAATGACGAAACAAATGGTGTAAACAATATAATGACAAAGTTTGCAATTAATGGATGCAGATTTATGCAAAAAGCTATTATATTACTTTATAAGTTAAGCATTAAATCTGTAAATGAGAAGACTTAAAAAAGACGCAAACAATTAGGAACCAAAAAAAAAGGTCTTCCCGACATTTGAAACAACAAACATGAAGTCTATATTTCTGGTAGTTTTTAAATTGATGTATTTATTTTAAATATATATTTTTTTGTTTTTATTTTTGTTCTTCGTTTTTACAAGATTTTCGTTTTCATTTTTTTGAAATTTAAAACCGGATATCTCGTGATTTAGAAAAGCTTTTTGCCTGAAATTTTTAGGGTATGTTCCTTGATCATAAAGATTTCAGATGTAATAAAATAATTAACTAAGAATAATTTTACAACTTTCAAAACCCAAATACCTGTTTTTTTAACGTATAGATTGTTATATTTCTTTTAATATTGTGTCTAGTTTGAGATTTTTAAAATATTTTTCTTTTGTTTTAGTAGAAATGATTATAATATAAAGAAACTATAAACAAAAAATTATTAAGTTTTGAAAAAATCGATCAAGAAACAGTGTTTCGAATTTTTTTCAGGTTTTCCTCCTTTGAACACTGATTTTGATAAGATTATCTTATAAAATATAATTTACTTAAAGTTTTTTTATGAAATTTTTAGTTTTATATATCGTCAAAAGCAAACTAAAAAAATATATAAACTGCTATAACTGCTTCTATTCAAAAATTACTTTTTTCTAAATTTCAAAGGAGAGCTCTGAAGTTTGCGTAAAAGTTTGTTTAAATCATTTTTTATGTTTTTTTGACAACGCTATTAGTAATATCAAAGTCTTTTTTAACTTTTAATTTTAATAATTTGTTCTGTGCACAAAACATCCTGAAGCTCAATAAAAACCTGCCACCGCACATTTGTCGATACTGTCCGAACCTTCTATCTATTGGATCACTTTAAATTCTAACAATAATGACATATTTATAACCACCATTTAACCCTTTATTGGATAGAACGGCCAAATGGCGTGATCGTTTTTGATTGGTTGTTCAATTT